AGGATGAGACCGCAGCAGCTGTTATGGGGGGCAAGGGCTTGGAGATGCGGTGAGCTCCTGGGCACACGGGGGGCAAGGAGCCCCTGCTGGGCACAGGGAGGCTGCACGGGCACCACTGCTGGGCAGGGGTGCTGGGTTTGCCCCAGGGCTGGTGGCAGAGGGTGCCGGTTGAGCGGTCGGGGCTGGTGGGAGCAGCACGGCCCCGGGGCAAGTGTGGCAAGCGTGCTGGTGCTCAGCGGGCACGTGGGGCTGGGGCAGGCGAGGGAGAGCCACGTGCTCCAGCAGCCTGCCTTGGGCCCTCCAGGGAAGGGCCAGTGTTTGCCACCCGTTGCACCCACGTCTGCACCAGGCTCCCTGCCTGCTCCTGGCCTTTTCCCTGGTCAGCCTGTGAGCCCTGAGGCTTCGATGAACATTTTCCTTTTCAGAACAGTTAATTATCGTGGCAGCCCTGTCATCACCTCTGGCTGGTGCTGCTGTGCCAGCCAGGAGATCCCCAGACCCTGCTGCGTGCCTGGGTCTAGAGATTTTTAGGAAGTGCCTGGAGGAGCTGGGTGGCAGGGTGGGACAGGGCAATGCTGCAGCACGGGCTGGGGTTGGGGCTGCCCCTGTGCTGGCTGGGTGGCCTCGGGGAGCCCTCCAGGCTGCTGTGCACTGGTCCCTGTGCTTCATCCCTGGCTGCTGGGTGTCCGGAGCTGAAAGGGGAGGCAAAGCTGCAGGGATGGACCGCGTGCTCCCTCTGCTGTAGGAGTGATGGGAATGGCTGCTGTGGGACCCTGGCAGAGGGCTGACATGGGTCCCCTTGTCTCCCCGTCCTTCCTCTCTTTGAGTGAGCGTGTGGGGGGGGTCCTGGCAGCATTTGGCACGCCTGTGGGGAAGGAAGGACCAGCTGGCTGGCCCTGGCTGAGCTCCCCCGTTTTCACAGCTCCTTCTCTGGCAGGTGCTGATGTTGGCAGATGGAGACAGCGCTGGGTTCCTCCACCGCCAGTTGCCTTTCCTTGCGTCCCTGGAGAGGAAGGATGGGAAAGCCACTGCCTATGTCTGCAGCAACTTCTCCTGCTCCCTGCCTGTCACCTCGCCCCAGGAGCTGCAAGGGATGCTCTGCCCGTGAGACCTCCAGCATCGTGGCCTGCGGGAAGATGCTGGGCAGACAGGCTGTGGTGACAGCCTGGCAACTCAGGAGAGACCAGTCATAAAGCCACCCTGGGTATCAGCTGCCTCCCAGGTGGTTTCTGGCTGTAGGTTGGGCTCTGCTTGTGCCTCTGCTTTGGCAGCATCTCGGCGGAACCAGCTCTGGTCCCCAGTGCTGGTTTTGGCTTGGCTGGGAGACACCCACCCAGGAGCACCTCCTACCCCTGCACACGCACTCCCTCCTTGCCTCTTCTGGCCAAGGGAAAGGAAAACAAATGAAATATAAATCCTCGTGTTAATGGAGAAGTCAGATGGGAAAACGATTGAGGTTCCTATAGCAACCCAGGGCAACACTGTCAAAAGCACCTGGATGACTTGGGAGTCGAGTGCTTTTGGAAGTGTTACCAGTTACGACAGCCATGGTATTTTTCCATTACGGGGTAGATTGTGACATACATTAAGTTAATCTACAGTGCATGCAAAAAACCTGCTGATGACCACAACTGAGGAACTGGTGCCACAGGACCCAGCCTAAGCACTTCCAAACAGCTCAATCTCTTGTCCTGGCCTTGCCAAGGGTGCAGGGACCCGGTACAGCTTGAGAAAGCACTTTACAAAGTCATAATCTCTTTGCAAAAGGCCAGTGCCTGTGTCCATGCTATGATGGGGCTCGTGGGGCTGTTCTGCTTCCCCTGGGACCTGTGGTGAGATGGGAGCTGCCTGGGAGTTGGAGGGGGCAGATACCAGGAGCTGGGTGCTGGGGAGGATGGCTGGGGTGGGCAGGAGCAGGCAGGGGTGGGTGAATGCTGGGGTAGGTTGACTGGGGCTGCATTTTTGGGCTGGGTGCTCAGAATGGGTGCTGTGGGGTGAGGTGCTCAGTGCTGTGGCTGCCCCAGCCTGGCCCCTGCTTTTGCTTGCAGAAAGTTTCAGTAACAGTACAAAAAATAACCCCTAAAAAGGCTTTTCACCCAGCGTTTGAGGAGGGAAGTGTTTGCTCTGAGCTTCCCTGGATCAAGGGTCTCACCAGCCTCTCTCAGGTCTTGGCCACATCCTGCTGACACCAGCTGTGGGGACAGCGCTGCTTTGCTCCCTTTGCTGCAGCATAAACTTCGTTCTCCCTTTCCTTCTCGTGGTCCCTTTTCCTCCTCCCTCCCTCCAGATGGTTGAGTACTGCTCTCTCAGCATCTGACACCCCAGGGCTCCCTGCACAGCACCCACACCCTGGCCGCAGGATGCGGTCATCTGGCAGCACCACAGCTCCGAGCCTGCTGCCTTTCCAGGGGGTTCTGCCAGGGCTTGGGGGTAACCAGCCAGGAGAAATGCCTTTGAAGTCAAAGAGGAATTTTGCACCTCATCTCGTGAATGCTTCTCTGCTTGTGGAAGAGGAGAGGGGGGGGTTAGTTTCTCTCTTCACTTGGTCTTAAAAGCTGAAGTGTTTCTGGAAATCCAGCTGAAAATTGCTGGTTTGGCAGATGGCTGGCTGCTTTCCTGTTTTTGGTTTTTTTTTTTTTGAACTTGGCATCTCTGCTGCGGGGGTTGATTTGACACCCCTCCTCATGCGTGCTCGGAGCACGTCAGTGCTGTGTCTGCCAGGAGAGCATCCTTGGAGAGCAGAGGCGGTGCTGAGCGCCCCACGGGGAAGCCCACATGTCTCAGGCTCCAGGGCTGGCCAAGTCCACACGTGGCAGCCATCCCCCGAGGTGGCCAGGGGCTGGGGGTGACGTGGCAAGCCCATCTTGGTGCCCACCAGCCCCCCGTGGCACAGGGTGCCTCTCTCCTGCATCATCAGGCTTGTTAGTGCATCTCTGTAAGCAGCTGCCGGGCAAAAACGTGCTGTGAAGCTCTGTCGGGAGGAACTGGGCTCACCTCTCAGCAAAATAAACCAAAACAGCAAAACAAAAAAGGAAGCAAAGTTCTCTGTCATAAATAACTGGTGTTGGGGCACCTCGGTCCTCCTGGCGCCTCTGCCTGGCCACTGCCTGGGCGCTGGTGGCCCCATCCTGGGTGGCCCCATCCTGGGTGGCCCCACGCTCTGCCCCATCCCCGGAGGCACCCAGCTGCCCTTGGGCTTTCTGGCCTTTTTGCTCGAGTTTAGTTGCAGCACCC